CCCACCGCCCTCAGGACACCTCATCCGGTGCGTCACATCCGCCGCGCAGGACCGGGGCTGAGGGCAAGGCGGGCTCCGAAAGGGGCTCGGGTTGGAGCAGTGAGCATGTGCGGGGTAAGCCCCGCCCGCTGGGCCCGGGAGGTTCCCTCGCGCCGAACCGTCGCGTCTCGGCCGCGGAGTCGCGGGGGAAACGCGATTAACGCACAGATAATGGCGCCGCCACGCAACGGCGCCATAAGGGCAGCTGTGGCTGCGCCACTTGCCTCTCACGGGCCTGCTCGCACCCTTTCGCCTCTTGAGGCGTTGGGACCCCCGGTAAAGCCGCACAGATAGAGCGTGCCGGTCCGCTGAGACCTTGCACATAATAGAAATCAACGGCCAAAGGCTCATTTCTGCCTAAAGTCCTCCCTGTGGCTGAAACAAAAGCACACTTCAGTGTGGCTGCTGTAATAAAACCAGCTGTGCCTGGCAACTGGACAGACAGCTTGTAAGTGGAAGGGGAACAGCTGCTTCAAGGCTGAACCTCAGGGCCTGCAGCTGGTTCTGACCCAGGAGCTGCCCACACAATGGAGCGAAGAAGTTAAAGACCATGGGAGGCATCCAGTGGCCACCAAGACAAGCCAAAATAAGAACTAGAGACTGTAGAATGGGAAGTGAAATGAGTATGTAAGTAGTTCCTAGAATAGGAGAAGACAGAACAATTATTTCATGGAGTGAATGCATGTAACCAGAACAAAGACAACGCCAGGGTGAACACATGCTGTGGAAATATCCCCATGTGTCTCCCAGTGCTGCAATGCAGAACACCTGCTTCACAGCCTCATTGGCTACCGAGTTAGAATTCTTGATTCTTCAAAGCATGGTAGCATCACTTTTAAGTCAGTGTCTACTCTCAATCTAAAAAGTTTCTGTTTATTTCAAAGCCTGCAGGCCTTCAGTCAGAGCCAGTCAACTCTGTTCAGGTCATTGCATTTGCTCCTCAGTTACAGTTTGACTGTAACTTGAAGACTGAAGGTACAAGAAAGCCAAATTACACAGCAAAATCCAAAGATCTAAAGGGGAAAAACCTTCCGGTGCCAACCTGCATCTGATTCAGAACACATCCGTCTCCCAGCACTCCTGTGCTGCACCTCTGCTTTTTTCTTTTTGTCTTTTTTCCCTTCTCCAAGGTTTTAAAAAAAATCTCTTTTTTAAGCTCTGAATATCATATACACGAGTAACTGTCACAATGTGCAAAGAAAAAGTGCTAAATATCAGTCACAGCAAGGAACTACTGGGCTGGTCTAAAGTCTGGGCACAGGGATGTGACCAACAGACAATAACCAGACACAGAGATTATGGCAGTAATCCTACATCCAGCTATCATATTTACCCAATAACCTTCGTACTCCACACTCCTCCACTCACCAGTTTTGAACCATACTTGAAATAAACAACTTCTTGAGCTTTTTTGGGTGAAATCAGTAAAGCTGAAGAATCTGCTATTGGCAGCAGCGGACTCATAGCGCCTGCTTTCTGGGAGGGTGGAGAGAAAGTTGTATAAAGAGTGAGCAGTGGCTGCAGGAAGTTAGGGCTAATAATAACAGCACCAGAAGTTTGAGCGTTATAAATAACATCTAAAATCTAAACTATATTCTTACGAAGGTACTCCTAGTTTCTGATAACCATAACTTGCTAAAAAAAAAAAAGAAAAAATAATCTCCCGATAAACTAGAATGAAGAAACAGCTTCAGTATACTACTGAAAGAAAAGGCTGAAAAAGGTCAGAAACCAATGGAGTTAAACC